ATCAATCTGGCATCTACTGAATTAAGGACTTCGTTTAAATCTAAAGATTGTATTGCCGACTGTGTAATTTTGTCATTTGATGAATCGATAACTTTTAGGGATGAACAATCTGATACACTGTATGTCAAAATTTATATCGTTTATCATAATTATATAGTTGATTCAAAGATCTAAATTACGGAGAAATCGATGTCCATGGAAAAACCAAAACAAATATTTAAGATCAAGTTAGTGTCCGTTACATTTGTTGGGTAATATGGCTAAGATACATTCGATTACTAGGAATCCCTTACATTGTTTTGTCTGAAATTAAGACTAGTCAAGTGCGGCTTTGAAATAAAGAATCTGTTTAACTTTGTTTTATGAAAAGTCCAAATGGTTTAAAGTTACCGTTTGGCAAATTTCTGATTAAAAATCATTCTTATTAACAAATTAATCGCAAACAAATTTCTTTTGAAGCATTGACGATATGATGTTTGCAAAATTACTAAAACTCATAAACAGTTTCTCCACATATAAGTTCATGAATATATCATTTTCAAAAATCTTACAAAATCGTATAACAGACAACGTACTGTAGACTAGTTGATTTGATATTCGAAATCTCCAGTTGTTCTCTAAATGTACCAGCTGCATATGAGTTTGTAATGCAGTCGGTTAAAACATTAAGCCTACGTTTTTGCATAGAAATTTATGAATGCTCGTTGACATTTATAGACAATATCCTGGTCAGACTTTCGTTAAGGCTTGTTAGTGCCAAAAATCCTTCACAGAAAAAAAATGTTTGTAAATTAACTCATCATTTATGCGAAAAGATTGAAAGCGAAAAGTATATATATTAAATCCAATGCTTTGTAGAGCTGTTAGGTCAGTTATAACAAACATATATCTTGAAAACCCGGAACAGCTTATCTCTTTTTTGAGGAATAAAATCATAATACGTGAAAGACGTCATAAGTTTAAAAATTATAATTACGTTTTTTTTTTCTCACAAAAAATAGCCGATGTGAATTATGCAACACAAGGAAAGCTCCATGGGCTGTCTGTTCTAGCATAGGTATTAATAGGTTCAATACGGATGAAAGCCGATGTTCTATGGATGCATTATTGCATACGACTTTAATAAGGTGTATATGTAGGTCAAGCGCAATAACTTTCGAAGAAACTATTGTCATTGAGGTAAAGTTTCGTTTGGAACATATTGCACGTTGATAATTATTATTATCTTTTAAATAGATGAATCCCAGTGCTTGTTTCCGTGTACTGTTACATCTATTATTGTTACGATTAATGGAATCATTGCAAATAATGGATTACTGCCAACAAAAAGAATAAAGTACTATTCATAAAAAAGGGATAACAAAATAATTGAATTACAAATGCAAATCTATCTTACAGGAAGAAAGTAATACATTATTTTATCTCTTTCTGATTGATACATCTACTAGCATTATGACATAATCATGATTGATTTATTAATACACTACTATTTCAAAGCAGTTTGCGTATGTATCCGTTTAGAAAAGTAATTCACTTAACGCTGCTGTTGTTGTGTAATGTCAATTGTACAACGTATACACATGTTTTTACGAAAATACAAATTCTACATTGTCTATGATATAATGATTATGTGCTGGCATATCAGTAACTGATAGTAGTCCTTTGTTAATTTATGTTATCATTGTCATTTTGCTTAGTTTCTAATTCTAACATCTGACTTAGACTTTCTTTAAAATGAGTTTTACTGTGCGTATTGCTATGAGTTTGATTATTCTACATAGGCTAGAGGTTTAGGGGAGGGTTGAGGTCTCAAAAAACATGTTTACTTTTCACACATTGTGACTTTGATGGAGAGTTGTCTCATTGGCACCCATACCACATCTTCTTATTTCTATTAATCCCGCCGCATTTATGAGCTTGTTCCAAGTCAGGAACCTCTGGCCTTTGTTAGTCGTGTATGTTTTTTTTAAATTTTGGTTCATCTATATGTATCGGAGTTTAGTGTGACGTCCATTTTCTCTGAACTAGTACACATTTTTATTAAGGGGTCAGGTGAAGCCTGTCTCTCGGTGCGGGATTTTCTCGCTGTGTTGAAGACGCATTGGTGGCCTTGGGCTGTTTTCTGCTCTTTGGTCGGGTTGTTGTCTCTTTGACACATTCCCCGTTTCCATTCTCAATTTTATTCATTTGAAGAAAATTAAAACAAATTATTAAACAAAGAGTACGATGTGTTTTGTAGGCATTTGAAATAGCATTTGGACTACACACACGATTGAAAATACAAAATATTATGCTTAGTGTAATAACCAGGATTTCTTACACAAATGTTTGAGCTTTTTCACGTTAATGGAACTTACTGTAAATTCTTTGAATCGACTTTTTTATATCTGAGATAGCACTTTGTTATTAAGCTCGGACAGATGGCAGTATACTACGTTTTGTTTTCCATTGTGACCATTATTATTGAAGCAGTAGACATTTATTTCGATTCTGAAGCCATATCAGATTTACAATGTCATACACCAGACGCGCGTTTTGGGAAAAAAAGACTCATCAGTGACGCTCGAAATAAAATACATTCGATATTACACAAGGAATAAAGAGAGACAGGAGACCGAAGATGTTTTAAAAAAAAAAAACAGAAATAAGATAGCAATGTTTATTCCTGATAACTGAATGAGATGCATTCATGAGTGTATACATATTTTCATAATTTTAGCACACTACTCTTTTAGATAACACGTTCTTTTGTTCATTAATCATGTTAATACTAGTGGCATGCCATCTGGAATACATTATGATTAATCGTGTAATTTTTGTTATATACAAGATACGAACATAACATATAGTTTGATACTCAAATAAGTTTGGCTTTTAGTTTATCGAATTTATTATCTTAAATAATTGTTGACAATATTATCCTTCGATGTTTCTGTCAACAGGAGATAATTCGAAAAAAACATTTTCTTAAAAAAAAAGAAGGACATTATGTATCTTGTTATCGACAAAGATACGAAGTTTCTTTACCCCGTGACATTGATTCTACGTGAATCAATATAATATATATTTCTATATCAATAAATATTTCGCTCTCTAGGAAGTTTAAAAATAACATTACATATGATCGCGATCGAAAAACTGATAACAACCTATGAAGTTTCGGTGTCACAACTACCGGCTGACGTACATCCAGTATTTGTGATGTTTATGCTATTATTTTTTTACTGACTTTGAGATGTCAAAAATGTCATTACAGTTTCAAATACACGCTAGATATGCTCTTGTTCTCAGTGTTGGATTTTTATTGTCATGTATTCCAAATGGTTGCTGTTCTAGATATGAAGGTCTTGTTTTATAGTTATCAGTCGGAGCAGTTTAACCATTTTCCTTTTTGTTGTTAGGGATGAGGGATGGATAAATAAACTGCCATGTCCGGTCTGTGTTTATGTTTGATGTTTTTCTGCTTTGTATCGATCCGATGAGTTAAGCCTTTTTCAACTCATTTTTATAGTTTGTTCTTATGATGTGATGTTACACCACTGTATAATGTAAGGAGAGGGTCGAGCGATCATAAACATGTTTAAACCCCGCCACATTCTGTATGTGCCTGTCCCTAGTCAGGAGCCTGTGGTTCAGTGGTTGTCGTTGGTTCATGTCTGTCATGTTTGTTTTTCGTTAATTGTTTTGTTATAAATTAGGCCGTTATTTTTTTTCAATTGAATTGTTTCATATTTTTTCATGCCGGGGCTTTTTATATCCGATTATACGGTATAGGTTTGTTTTCTCATTGTTGAAGTCCGTACGGTTGCCTATAATTGCTTACATGAACTTTATTTTTTACTTTGGTGGATAGTTGTCTTATTGGCAATCATATCTAATCTCCTTTTTTTATACAAACGGCATAAAAAGAAACGCGATACATCCACTCTGGGGATACTTGTATCATTCGCCAATTTATACCACATCTCATTTATCTATATGAATAAGAGTACTCCAATAGTGCTACTAGATTCCTGTATTTTGAATATATGTGTTTGATAACTAATCATTGGTGTTGCTTACACTCAGAACTGCAATGTGTGGTGTACGTATGTGGCTCAACAACGATTTTGCAAGTCAGATATGTTATTGTCGCATCCGTTATATCTAAGTATGTGTAGACACACAACGGTTTGGATGCCTTGATACCTTTTCGTGTTTTTCTGTTGACATATTGGTTTATTTTTATAGTGATTAAGATTATAACTAAATGTTGACTGTTGTACCCCTATTATGAACATGTTTACCTATTATGTCTGTTTGTTTTGTTCAAACATAGTTGTCAATATAATGTCAATATAATGAATTGTGCGACTGTTATACAAATGAGAGGGTTAGCTAGCTATAAAACCAGGTTTAATCTACCATTTTCAACACAAGGAAATGCCTGTACCAAGTCAGGAATATGACAGTTCCTATCCATTCGTTTGATGTTTTTAAGCTTGTGATGTTGCCATTTGATAAGGGACTTTCCGTATTGATTTTTCCCTAGAGTTCGGTATTTTGGTTATTTTACTTTTCAATGTTTCAAACCGTATTGTTATAAACGACGACTGTTTTGGTGGAGTTTTTTCTGTCTTACCATTGTTTTTCCATGAACCAATGTCAATATAAATAACATAATTGTGCAATCCACCTTTCGATTTCAAGGTTCTATTTTTTAGAGTTACTTTGCCTGATACGACAAATTACTCGTATCTCATTGTTAATATATAATTATTTATAGATGTCAAAAGACATTGTATAAAATTTCTTAATTCCATCTGTTTTAAAAGTTTTCAACTTGGTTTTCGTTTTAGGGTTTACAAACAAAACAATGCATACGCAAAAGATTCGTATTGTTCTAAAATAACCTGGGTGCAAGGGAAATTCGTTAACTGTTTTCGACTTGCAATTCCTGAAAGTGATAATAATTGTATCGCATAAAAATACAATAATGATTGCTTTAGAAATAAATTACAGAATTTCATTTCATTTTATTCTACATTCATTTTTTACTAGTCAATTACATTAAAATAAGTAATAGTTCGTAGGTCCTGTTATGTTCACTAAGACCTGTAAATAATGGATAGCTGAACTCACTAGCCAATTTAGGCGCGCCTGCATATCTTGAACCCTACGCCAAAACATTTATGATATTTACAGCACTGGCTGTCACGAGTGCATGGTTTTCCACGACATGTTTGTCTTTTTATGAGCCTAAAAAACATTAAGTAGAATTAATTCATTCGATACAAAAATCAATAGTCACATATTTCATTCATTGGGAACATCAGTTTATATCATTGCATATTACTTGAGGTTGGGATCTATATGACATGTTTTGTTACAGAAACGTATAAGGTGCAAGTACTGATGACAATGTTCACTACTTAATTCGGTTACCTATAAACGTTTAAGAGTTTATATTCTGATGGAGTTGTATACCATTCAATTGTACTTCTATATGCCATCAACAATGTCATATAACACTTGTTAATGACTTAAAATTTACACATGACGGTGCCATCCTACCCATCGGAAGCACATGAGTTTAGCTCCAGTTTCAGTGGGATTTGTTTTGATCCATATACATCTTTTTACGGCTGCTGTTTGTCTCTTTGTCATTTCATTACCATTATGGAATATTTCGAGTTTTTGTCTGTATGGTCACTCGCCATCTTCGAGACATGGAATTTATTATAGGGTACAAGGAATATTCCTAATATATGTTTGCATTGCTTTTCTGAATCTATTCGTTTGAAATATATGTTCACATAAGATTATTGATTGATTACGCCTTTTTGGATTGTAAAGATATATATTATAATTTACAATGCACTAATTGTTTCTAGAAAATATATTGTAATTTTTTTCCCTGTGTGTATGTCCTTTTGATATTTAATAATTTACATTTGCTGTATTCAAACCGACTAATTCAACCAGTAACAGACTTTTTAAGACCTTAACTCTATTTACGAGAACGTATCGAATAATCAAACCGTACGACCCAACTTACTTATGAATAAGGCCATTGTCTTCAAACATTTCTTCATGTGCCATGTTAACTGGAAATAAAGTATTTGTTTACATTAAATAATATGACCCGGTTACATATTTTGTTTATACATATATCATGCACCACGAAAATGTCGAAACTTAATAGATATTTCCCCATTAGAGTAAGATTACGAAATAGACTGTCAAGTTCCTGGGGTTACCCTTCATCAGTAACGATCAAACCTAAAACAAATTAATCCTAACAATTTACAAAAAAAAAAAAAAAAAAAAAATTTGAATACTTGATGAGCTGTGTAAACACAAACAGCATATAATAGGACTAACCAAATAGGCATTAAGTCAATCTCTCCAGCCGATGAAACTTAAAAATTTATCAACGAGCTTTTAAAGAAATGCATGTTATAAATCGTGTCAGTACTAAAGCACTGACTGCTGAGATGATACTACCCGCGGGGACTATCAGGTCCTCAATCGCGGTACTAACCAAGTGTAAGACAATTAAAATAACACTATAATTTTGGTGGGGCCGAAAGCAAAATATTATCAGTAGTCCTCTCTCACTCAGACACGCACATATATATACACCTAAAAAATTTCAACAGTAATTCATGATGAACAAAAAATATTTTGCTTGTGTGTTCGTATGTTATAGAATCATGTGCAAAACAGTGTAGCCGAGACCATTGATTGGCGCGCCAGAATATCCAATTGACTGGGTCAGATTAGGTGAACGTTCGTCTGTAACGCCCACAACTCACGACGTATTCATTATAGACATTTAAACTGTGGGGTCACCAAAGGGTCTCAACGTCTAAATAAAATAATTCGAAAAACTAATCAGGAATAACCTTTGTGTTTTGATTTATATTGAATACTTAAACGTTCTTTACTTGTGTTTTTGTTATGTTTTGATAATGAATTTTTATGATATCGGACGTTCTTTCAGCAAAAAAGGATTTAACTGGCTTTAAAAGTTACAATGGATGTGTTGATTATTATCTTTTTTTCGGACGTCAAAGCGATTTAACAATTGCGGTTGTCCAATTATGTCATCTTTTAACTTTTATCTGGTCAAAATTTTATTTTAGAACGAATGCATGAACAACTTTAAAAAGTGTGCAAACACAAAACATATAGACAAAATATACTTCTTTCCTGTCTTTTTCGTACTTGCAAGTTATTAGACAGTAAACAGGCTATTTGGATCAAGCCTTGTGAAATTTGCATTTACGTTTTTGAATAGGTACAGTCAAGTTTAGCGATTGATAATTCATTGATAACATTCTGGCGTATCACAAACAAACAACTTGTAACGTCTCATTTCATTGGCCGAAAGATTTAAATACAACAACAATTGTAGTGTGCACGTGAATTGACACAGGTGACCGACAATGGAATGTACTACGTTACTAAGAACGTAAAAAACAATGATTTTGGTCGAAATAATTAAATAAGTATTTTGTGAATTTCAAATAGTGGGGTCGAAATATTATACTAATAATTTGTGTTAAGTAATATTCTGTATGCATGCAGCACTTGTACCGCACTATGAAAAATATAAGGATAAAATAAAATACACATGTGCCGCTTTTATACGGATGAATGTATGAACCACTTTAACTTCTTTCATATTGACGCTAGGTTATTATCCTGACAATTTCGTAGTTACTTATAATAAGGATCTCATAATACTGATCCATTTCAAATTGATGATGGGTTGCACATTCCTCTTTTATTGTTTTCATGCTATAAAACGAAAATAAAGTAGCTAAGCGTTTGGTCATTCAGAAATGACGTGTCATAAACGAGCAAATTGTCCCCGAAAGATCGTATCATGTGTGCACGTGAATATAGATGTACTATGCAATGTACTATCATGGTCACCACGAAATTCAAATGAATTCAGTGAAGGCATGTTGGTGTAAAAAGGTTTGAAATGTTTCGTCGGCGAAGATTTTATTTTTGCATGTGTGGAACTAAAAAATAAATAAATACTTGTGAGAAATGTCGTAGTTTGTAAGGAACTATATAAATGTACTGTTTTCGATTTTAATTGGTTGAAAATTTATCCTTTAATTTCATACCGTAAGAATAGAGCTTTGCATAACATTGTTGAACTATCCGCCAAAGTAACGTGTGGCATGCGTGCGTATTAAAATGAAATACAAAATCATACATGTATGATAAACTTATAAACGAAATATTAAGAAATTAAGGATGACTACTGTAAAAGTATGTACAAAAATGGAGTCACCTTTTATCAATACATTTAGTGAATAAGAACACTGTTTGAAACTGATTGTTTTCTATGCAACTATTTAAATATTTACAATATATAATTTTCAACCGAGGATAGCAAAACAGTTAATTATAAATTAAGAAAGTATATCGCTGGAGTTTATAAAGTACATTTTTTTCCAATGTGCCATGGTTTGCCATCTCCATTTTTTCTCTAAACAAAGCATGGCTGGTTACATGTTCTGAATTTACTTAGAATTTCGGGATTTTTTTTCAAAATCAAGTAAACTAAATCAGAAAAAAATCACACTATCCTAAAACTTATGAAAGAATATGAATAATGAACATGACAGTTTATAACACAAACCCATTTACTATAAAAATCGAGCAATATCTTTAGTATGTAATTTGGTTATTTTTGTAGTTAAGTACGGTTTCATTTCAAGTACAACGTTAATTCATCAAGTCCATTGAATAAAAGATAAGGCAGGGTGAGCAACTTGACAAAAAAAGGCAGGATGACGATTTATGTAAAAAAATCAGGATAAACTAATAAATATAGTCAGGACCTAACAGACTGAAAAATAGAAAGACAGGACAGAGATAACAACTAAAAAAAATGCAGGACAAAATGTTTCATCCAATTCCCCCACCCCCAATCAAAATAAAATGGTAGCTCCCTTAATCCAGAACCAATTGAGAGGAGACAGTTGAATTAAATATTTCGACGTGACTGTTAAGATTAAAGTTTAAAATTTTACATGCACATGTATAAAAGCTAGAATTGCCATGGGATAATCAAGAACACAATCATGTACGTGAATACGACGATGGAAGTTTTTAACGACCTTGACCGGCTACGTGAATACTGATCAGTCCATTCAGCTTTATAGTACGCGTGTTCTATTTTCGCAGGTGTGAGGTCGAAGGTTTGAATTGACCAATGAAAACGATCGTTCCTTAACGAGGTAATCTAATAAAGTTTGTTCGACTGATTATGTTGCACGACCTTTCGCTAAGCTTGGCCGCAGTTCAGTATACAATGTATAGTTTGATGATCTTTTCTGCTAACTACTATACTTGTGAAAAACCCTTGGCAACAGAAACATATTCAGCTTTTTTTTTAATCGACCCAATTTACATAGTAATGGACGACTTCGTACATTTTATGATCGCAAATAAAATATGTATATAATATACTGTGCACTGTAGTACGTATATATACTGAGACCTTTTGGCAACCCAACAGTTTAAATGTTTATAATAAATACGTCGTGAGTTGTGGGCGTTACAGACGAACGTTCACCTAATCTGACCCAGTCAATGGGATATTTGAGCGCGCCAATCAATGGTCTCGGCTACACTGTTTTGCACATGATTCTATGCAATTGTTTGCCAGCTTTTAATTTTACACAGAACCCCCAATCTCAGTTATTACATATCTATTTTTGTTCTTTGACATAAGCACAATACAAGTATAAATTATGCTATGTTTCAGGACAGTATGTTTCCTACTTTATTAACGTCAATTTTGTTGTTAAAATGTTGAAATAATTTTTCTGATATTTCAAAAACTAACTAACGTCATTTTTTTATAACAACATCTTTAATGTAATGCGCTTCTCTTATTCTGATTTTGGTTGAAAGTTAATGATGAATAGTCCCCATTCCAGTCGTCCATTCATTCCTATTCCCCTCGCCCTTCAACACTAACTTCCCATAAAAACAAATACAAGTTAAAACAAAAGTAAGATATACATAGAAGGAGATGTTGATTACATGTCAATAGTCCATTATTCCAATAACACAAGTGCATAAATGACCTCTAGAATTATGCATAGTCTACAACAAAAGCCATATTTCTTCACAATTTTTGAAGCTAATAATCTTCTATAGTTTATAAAAGTTATAATTAATTGAAACAATCATAAACCTTCCTTCAACGCTGAATTATCCAAATAACCAAATAAAATCATATGACCTCACTGCAAGTTCCTGACAAGGGACAGACCCATAGAAATATGACGAGATTAAACTTGATTTATTTTTTATATCTTAACTACCCCCTTGTAATTGCAATCAATTGGCTTGCAACGGGTACATAAAAGAAAATTTTACACAAACTGTTACATGAGTTTCTGTTTGACGTAATCGGTGAATGATAGGTGACGCTAACATGACTAGTCCTTGAATGATCGGTGACAACCGTCTACGATCGATCAGTCAATACATTATACGCACGGATAGGACGAATACGTATATTATTAAAAATCTTAAGTGAAACGAACTCCGCAGTATCTACATGTGATAAACGCAGACCTTTGTCCAATAATCTGTATTCAGCTTGGTCGCAACGACAGATACAAAGAAAACGATACAAATTACTTTTAACGCATTATCTGATTATTTCATAATTGGTTCATATATTTTTCTGCTAAATAAATTACTAAACAATACAGCATTATGACACTCAGAATGTTTTTACACCACTCAATAGCGACAAAATGCTATCATTTAAAATCAGTATCGTCTTTAGCAATCATATAGTTTTATGCCATTAGATGAGTTACTAGTAGTTGTCATAAAATGTAAATAATATAAAGTAAAAATAAAGATACTTAAAGTTTTATTTGTCTTAAACTTCTTCATTTCGATGGACATCAACTACTTTCATTTGTTTTTAGTACTTTCTAAACTTCAGGACTGATTATTTTGCATAAGATATGAATCAGAGAAAAAAATCTAAACAAAATGCACTGTTTGAATCAGTCATTTTAAATGCCTCTTGATTTTGTAATTTTTTAAACGA